TGTTGTTGTTGTTATTGTTGTGTGCCTACAAGTCATTTCTTACTTATGGTGACTGTAAGGTGAACCTATCATAGGGTTTTCTTTGCCAGTTTCTTAAGAGTGGGTTTGCCACACTCTCTCAACCACAAAGGATGGTAATGGCAGTGGGTTTTTATGTTCGAGCAGGGAATCGAACCCTGATCTCCAGAGCTGTAGTCCAGCTCTCAAACGACTGCACCACACTGGCTCCTACACTTTCTATACTTTCTTACCTTTGAGTGAACTCCATTAGCATAAGTGGTGTACATCTCTGGGTAAACAAGCATAGGTTTGCACTCATTTCCTTTTCTGTCCCAGCATCTCCATTTCCAATGAAGCAAAGGCAGCATTCAAAGGGCAAGATTAGTGTATTTCCCAAGGAGAGAACCATTTTAAGTAGATCTTCTGTTCTGTGCATGCTGTTTTATTATATTAATAAACAGTCTAACTTGGTATGTTAAGCTCAATCACTTTTTTGTGACCTTCTGAAGAATTACTAAGCAACACAGCTTTAGTTGCCAATAACTACTGAGTCATGGTCAGTAGTGCTTATGGGCCTTCATCCACGTGGTTTCCTTTCCTTACTAATTCAGGATGTCACAATGACTTAGAGGCAGGTACTCTTTTTAAAAAGGCTCTATGATTATAACTACTGTCTCTTTTTATACAGCATTTTGGCTCTGCCTCAGTGGATGCTGATGTTTTATCATGCTGAGATTCCTTTGTTTTGTTAATATTAGATCTCTCTTTTTTATTTCTATTTTAAAAAACAAAAACAAAGTGTATATTTTTATTTGCATGGTGCCTTGATTTTGATTTTATTAGAGCAATATTGGGTATAAATGCCCAAATACATAATACAGGCATGCTTCAGTTAACAAGCCTCTGACAGTAATGGTCCCTGCCCAGCTCCCACTTTCTCCTTATCCTATCTGGCTGGGTCTTCTTTTTTTAGCAACATTGAAATTGGGAGGATGGTAAAGCAGGGCTAGAGAAACACAAAATTTCAGTGTAGGTTGCAGCAATGTGTCTGCAGTGAACAAGGCAATAAACAAACGTTTGAGTTGGGAAAGAATGGAATTCTACTCTAGCCCTGTCTGCCTGCATATAACAGGCATGGTAAACAGCAGCTGCCTCCAGAATACCTTACCAAGCATGAGTGAAGAACAAAATAGAGAAAAAAGGGAAAAGCAGACAAGCCTGCCTCATCAGCTACCCTCAGGGCGTTTTCACACGGGGCTTTAGGCGGACGCAATCCTACTTCCGTCCGGCCCCAGTCCGGATCCTTTGCAAAGTTTTTCACACAACGTCGCAGCAAGCCCCGCCCCATCCAGTGCCATCCCCGGCGCTAGCCGGCGTCAGTCCGGGGCCTTGCTCCGTGTGTTCACACGACGTCGCAGCAAGCCCCACCCCCGCCCCGCCCCATCCAGCGCCATCCCCGGCGCTGGGCGGCATCAGCCCTGGTCTTTGTAATTCCTTTTTTAAAAAGGAATTAAGTTGCTGCTGCCAGAAGCAATCAAGAGGCATTCCGGAATGCTGCTGCTTTGACAGGTCTGAAGCTGCAGGATCCATTCTGGAATGGCTCTTGATTGCTTCCAGGCGGCTTTGGACGTTCAAGTGTGAAAACGTCCTATGAATGCTTTTTTAAAAAGCACAAATCTATAAGGTTGGTCACCAAAATGGAAATCATAAGAAAAGTGGATGCGTTTTAAAGAATAATAATAATAATAATTTTTTAATAATTTTATTTAATACCCCGCCCCTCTGAGAACAATCGGGGCGGCTTACATCATAAAAATCATCACACAATTTAAGAACAATTCCCCCCTCCCCCCCTTAAGAAAATATTAAACCAGTTACAATTAAAACAAATTATAAAGAGGTAAGTTCCACCATAAAATCACATACCTTCACACAGTCTCTAGAAGATTCAAAATGTTTTTATTTACTTAAGTTTTATTTTCTTTCCAATAACCCCCCCAGCTCCTATCCTACTAAAGACCCTCTTGATTCCTTCACTTAAAACAGGGCACCTAGACCCACCACAGAAAGAGCCAGGACTCAAGTCAGAGTTCACGGTGGTTCAGTGTCACCATGAAATCTAACCAGACCCAATGTGCCTGAGATTTTGGGGATCTTTTATACCCTTAAACCTAGCCTGAGGTGAAGAGTTGCTATTGTATATCAAAAGATTCCAGATTCCTACTGTTTGAAGTAAACAATTTTCCAAGGAGAGGAGATGGGATGTTAATGTTATCTCATCTCATCCAGACACATCCTGGCTCGTACTCGTAAATCTTCTAGGTGTGAATGTCCTGCATTGCAGCTCCTAGGCTTGGCCCTTTTGATCTGCAAATTTTTGTAAGTACAGATGTGACCTTTCAGGTGCCTATGTGATGTGCTTGTCTTGGGTCTATGGCAATAGGGGCTTCTCCCAGTCTAGGGCCATGGCAAAGACCCAAAAGGGGTCTTTATATTAAATCAGTCATCATAACACCTGTTTAATTCACAGGGACTTGCCCCCAAAGAATAAGTGTGCAAAAGTTTACTGCCTAAATAAATAAATAATAAATAGTGCTCTAAAGGAAGCAAAAGGGGCTGAAACTTTTCTCTCTTTCTGGCAATGCCATGAATGCACAGAGATTTTAGGCAGTGGACTTTATTTCTCAAAACAATGCTCTGAGCTATAAATCAAATAACCAGTTCAAGGTGTACAACTGGAATCTACAGGGTAATGCAAAAAAAAAAAAAAAAAAAAAAAAAAAGACCTGTTAAAGACTTGTGAAAACTGGACTCCCATGAAAGTTGCACTCACCATTTGAGTTATGAAGGTGATTTGCAAATGTCATTTCATTTGGTATGAACAATAATACTGAGAGCAGGCTTTATACTGGTAGATGGCAAGACTGAAAGCCCTGTAGCAAAAGCATGGTTACACAGAGATCTCTGGAATGTTTAGAGATATATATTTGCTTCCTTCAGCACAAAATGTCCTGTGTCCTGCCTGGGACTTCAGTCAAACATTACGTCAAAAGAACTGCCTGTTTCAGGACTGAATTCCACAGTTGGTGTACCTTAAAAGTCCCGCTTATCATTGGATTAGCAGTCAGACTTTTGTGTGAAGGATTTTCCCACAACATATTTCAATTTGGTCATATTAAGCACAGCAGTGCTTGTGGAGCTTTCTGCTTAACTCATATCATGAACCACTGTCTACAGTCATATCTCATGGACTACCACATTGCATTTCAAAATCTGTATTTTGTTATCAGACTGGCCAAAAAGGCAGAAAAATGCACGTGGCTTGTTTTGGTTTTTCTTTTTGCCTTAAAAAAGTGTTATCACAATATGGATGTTGGAATTTGACTTGTGCTCTACATGGTTACCCTGCTTTTTGCATGTGAGATGTTGACAGATGTTTTAACAACAATGGCTGACATTCAATATCACATCAGTTACAGATTTGTATCTTAAAGTTATAAGTCTCCATATTCATGATCCCTATGTAGTCACAACTATGGCATTATTGCTAAGATCATAACAACCCTCTCAAACCTATTTTACTGAGCAGTAGCTGTTTCGCGGGATGGTGATCTGTTTTTCTGGGAATTGGGATGCAGGTGGATGACATTTGCCCTTCCCCAAAAAAACTAGGAGCAAGACTCCTGTTGCAATCCTTGCCAGACCTCACTTGCTGGCGGGAAGGAGCTGGAAGTGCATCCACCTGCACTTTGATTGCCAGGGAAACATTTCTAGTAGGGACTTTATCACACAGGGAAAATTTGGATGGAATTGGAGATTTAAACAGTGATTATCCCAGGCAAAACACAAATTTTCAATTAACATTTTCACACATATCACTCTTAAAGAAACAATAAAGAGGCAATAAACAGCAACAAATCACTTTTGGGATTTCCCTGTGAATGATTGGTTGATGTTTATTACCTCTTTATTGCCTCTTTATTACCTCTTTAAGAGCAACATTGTCTGAAAATCTTAATTACGAATTCGTGTTTTGCCTGGGATAATTTAAAGACCTGATTTTGGCCAATTTCCCCTATGTGATAAAGTCCTTAAAAAACAAGTTGTTTCCAAGTTATGGAGACCCTGTCATGGGGTTTTCTTGGCAAGATTTGTTCAGAGAGATTTTGCCTTTGCTTTCCTTTGAGGCTGAGAGAGTGCGACTTGCCCAAGGTCATGCAGTTGCTTTCCATGGTTGAGAGTCATAGTCAGACCATGCTGGCTCTCAAGAATAAAGGAAGGAGAAGCATATTCTTATTACCTACTATTTTTCATGGATTCTGTGTTATATGCACGGGGAAGTGGGGAGACACATAGATGTAGTAAGAAAGGATTGGCAAAATTATGAACCAAATTAACCCTGAGCCAAATTCACACCTGCATGCAATAAACTAGTTTTCTCTGTGTCCTGTG